TATTATGGATCATATTTCTTGTCGAATGAGCAAATAAACGCACTTGAAAACTTCAGGTTGACCTAGAAATTGAGGATAACAAAAAACACGGTTCTTATTTCATTGACTCAGACCAAAAAAAAAAATGAATGTTGCGCAGTTGTCGATTCAAATGTACGTTTCAAGACCTTCATAATAATATATGATTGGCTTACATTAATTTGCAAAGAACGGAGAAAAGGGCACCAGAGCCAAATGCTCCGTGGAAGACATATGGTTGCGTAAAGAGTGTATGATTTTGAGAGGTGGCGGAGAACGACCAGAGCCGACGAGGCTTTTGGCTCTGGTGGCTTATCTCGGCTCTCACTTGATGAAACCCCCAACATCCATCTGTCATTCTGTTCAGAACGTATGGAGAATCCAGCTGACAACTGCGCTCTTTAATAAGTTCCACCATAAAAAGTTATTCTCCATATTCCCTTTTTTATCGTATTCAGGCTCTTTCACATACAATGTTTCTATAGTTCAATTTTAAATCATAATAACTATTACTTCCAACGATGAATGAAGTTCTTAGACACATCAAAGTTATAGGGCGGAAAAGCACTTACTCCTTACATTTTGTGGCCTTTTCAACTCCAACTTCTACCTTCAAAACTATATCTTTTCATTCATGGAACAAACCCCTCATCATTGTCCCTAAAATCCACAGTTCTTATGTGCTACGATATCTTAATCTTGTTAACAATAAGGTGAACATTTATTTTATTAACAATAAAGTGAACATTTCTTCCCCCTATGGTCTTATAGTATCATCACTAATGTGTAAAAAACTGACTTACTCAAACTCTCTTAGGTGAGGGTCCTACTCTTTCTTCGCTCATTAGTGAAAGTGACCAGAGCCGTGGCTCTATATATTTAACCCATGCCCAGCGATAGAGAAAGCGGAGGATTACGCCCACGGCGTGGCGCGGTAGGTTGTGAATAGGACATGATTAGTTTCCTGGCGTGGACATCAGTTGATCATTGATGTCTCATTCACCATCGGCTACGCCGCGTCAGTGGAGATCTCGCATGCTTCATAAACTATCGACATGTCGCAATTGCGTCCCTGGCGACGCGATAGAATCTACTGGTTGAGGACAACTTCTGGAGCAAAGAGAAGGTAAAGCGTAAAAAACCTGAAAACAATTAATGAAGGGCGGAATAAGGGATGAAATCAGTTGAAATGTGATGGTACGCAATCGAACTCGGTTTGTGGACGCATACGGAATCTCCGCGTTAGTGGCAGTATTGCCATGACCGCTCTCTCTGGGAGTCGACGGTAGAGAAGGTGAATTTGAAGATGGAAAGTTTCGTTTTTGGACTTGCTCAAAGCCTGTGGGTAGTCACACTCCAGCTTACTTGAAACAAACCTCAGTGGTTTTATGCGCGCCATAGCTGTGCAACTTGTAGTCTTTGAATAACGTTTGTTTAAAAAGTGATCATTCTTTGCTACTCTGCTAGCCTCTAAGAGCTGATGTAAGCTTGATCAGTGTTTCGCAATTTGTTGCTGACTAGCAAAGCACAATACAATTGACAAGACAAAAAGAACTTGTCCACAAATAGCAGTGCAGTGGGAATCAGCTGTGCCTTCGGCTGCAGGCCAATCGGATGTCTTTTCAGTGCCAATTAATGAAGCATTTTTGATAAACATGTCACAATCGACTCCTTATTCATAGAATATGGTGGGTATAAGAGAACGTCTAAATCAGGGAAAAGTACGCCACGGTAGAGCTCGTTATCAGCTCTAACCATACTGTTCATAGTACTGTCGACTCCTCATGACAGCTACATGCTGTAGATTGGGTCTGAGGTGCGGGGAAGCACGCGGAATGTGAGAAACCATGAATTACGCTCGCAAATTTTTGACACCTCAACTTCCTCTAAAGCGTTCCCTTGGGCCATAAGCAAAGGATCTTCCCCTAATTATGCTTAGGCAAAAAAAGCCGCACTAGTTGGGCAAGATGCAGTATTTCTCTACGAGCGTTTCCCGGATTTTGTTGGCGTTTACGTTGATGAAACGTCAAGCGACTGCACCGCTGTATCACGTAGCTTCGGCCCCGCCCAGCAGATCGCGGAGAGGCGACAATGAATATGGATTTGAGGATGCAGAAAGTTGTGTTTCTTGCTTCTTACAGATCTAACTTTCTCCAATCACAGCTCTGTTAGTGCAGTGATAACTGGTGTTATAATTAAAAACCAGTAATTTATCCACTTGAATGCGCTCATATACCCATTTCAAAGCGCCAGCGGATGCTTGGTAACCGTTACTAGCTTGGTTAAAAAATAATCTCGATTTGCGCACAAAATCAAATTCATATTATAAGGATGTTTATGAGATAGTCTCCATCTGCTCCAATAACTTCTCTCCATTCTTCTCGCATGGAACAAATGCTTTCAGAAGAACTTGGTTGGCTGGGAGTTAGAAAACTGGCTCCCCAACTTCCACAGCATTGGCGAAACGAAACCATTTAAAAGTGATGCATTGACCTTAAGTGATAATCTGAGGGAGCCAAATCTGTGCTATACGGCGGGTGAGGCAAAAATTTGCAGATCAACTATTCTATATTTTCATAAATAATTTTTGCGATGTATGGTCTGCGTTATAACGAAGAGATTTTATTGTGCTTATACGAATCCCAAGGACCTGTTCAGCCATTCAGCTGTAGGTGTAGTGGTCAGCTGTAACTTTGGTCGGGTCTCAGCACTTCAGAATATATCAGCTTTGTTACTCCACCAGACACATAACATAACTTTTCCCGTGAGCTCAAT